AATGTCTAAGACTTGCACAAAACAAACAGCAAAATGGTAGAAGTCCTTCCTTATCAGCAACAACTTTCAATGTAAAGTGGATTAAATTCTTCAATCAAAATGCAGAGATTGGCAAGAATTTTTTTTTTAGATGAGCCTGTGTGTATGCTGTCTACATGAAACTCACTTTACTTATTGATTTTTATTCTCAGGTTGGTGAACATACAGTGTGGTCTTGGCTTCAGAGTAGAACCCAGTGATTCATCTCCTATATATAATACCCAGAGCTGATACCGAAAAGTGCCCTCCTTGATGCCCATCACCCATTTAACTCATCGGCCCATCCACCTCTCCCATCAACCCTCAGTTTATTCTCTGCATTTAAGAATATCTTATGGTTTGCCTCCTTTTTTGTTTTTATCTTGTTTTTCCTTCCCTTCCCCTATGTTCATCTGTTAAGTTTTCAAATTCTACATATGAATGAAATCATGTGGTATCTTTCTTTCTCTGACTTACTTCACTTAGCATAATATCCTCCAATACCATCCATGTTGTTGCAAATGGCAAGATTTAATTCTTTTTCATCGCCAAGTAGTATTCCATTGTGTGTGTGTGTGCGCGTGTGTGTGTGTACCACATCTTAATCTATTCATCAGTTGATGGAGATCTGGGCTCTTTCCATAATTTGGCTATTGTTGATAGTGCTGCTATAAACATGGGGGTGCATGTGTGTCTTCAAATCAGCATTTTTGTATCCTTTAGATAAATTCCTAGTAGTGCAATTTCTGGGTCATAGAGTGTTTTTATTTTTAATTTTTTGAGGAACCTCCACATGGTTTCCCAGAGTGGCTGTACCAGTTTGCATTCCCATGAACAGTGCAATAGGAATTCCCTTTCTCCACATCCTCACCAACATCTGTTGTTTTATGAGTTAATTTTAGCCATTCTGACAGGTGTAAGGTGGTATCCCATTGTGGCTTTGATTTATATTTCCCTGATGATGACTGATGTTGAGCATCTTTTCATGTGTCTGTTATCTAATCTGGATGTCTTCTTTGGAAGAGTGTCTATTCATGTCTTCAGCCAATTTCTTCACTGGATTACCTGTTTTTTGGGTGTTGAGTTTGATATGTTCTTTATAGATTTTGGATACTAACCCTTTAGGGCATATGTCATTTGCAAATATCTTCTCCCATTCTGTTGTTTGCCTTTTAGCATTATTGATTGTTTCCTTTGTTGTGCAGAAGCTTTTATCTTTTAAAAAAATTTTTTTAATGTTTATTTTTGAGAGAGAGACACAGACAGATAGCTCTATCTGAGTGAGGGAGGGGCAGAGAGAGAGAGGGAGACACTGAATTTCAATGCAGGCTGCAGGCTCATAGCTGTCAGCACAGAGCCTGACACAGGGCTCAAGCTCCAAATCACAAGATCATGACCTGAGCTGAAGTGGGATGTTTACCCAACTGAGCCACCCAGGCACCCCTAGAAGCTTTTTATCTTGATGCGGCCCCAAAAATTTCCTATCTCACATTTAGGTCTGTCATCCATTTTGATTTTATTTTTATGTATGGTGTAAGAGAGAGTGGTCTAGTTTCATTCTTCTGTGTGTTACTGTCCAGTTCTCCCAGCACCATGTGCTAAAGAGACTGTCTTTTTTCCATTGGATAGTCTTTCCTGCTTTGTTGAAGATTAGTTGGCCATGTATTTGTGGGTCCATTTCTGGGCTCTCCATTTTATTCCATTGAACTATGTGTCTGTTTTTGTGCCAATACCATTCTTTCTTGATGATTACAGCTTCGTAATACAGGCTAAAGTCTGGAATTTGGATGCCAGACTTTAGTTTTTAGTTTTCTTTTTAGTTTTCTTTTTCAACATTACTTTGGCTATTTGGGGTCTTTTGTGGTTCCTGACAGATTTTAGGGTTTGTTCTAGCATGCTGTTCTAGAACACTGGTGCTATTTTGATTGGGATTTCATTGAATGCATTGATTGCTTTGGATAGTATCAAAATTTTAACAATATTTGTTATTCCAATCCATGAGCATGGAATGTTTTTCCATTTCTTTGTGTCTTCTTCAATTTCTTTCTAAGCTACATGAAACTCACTTTAGATCCAAAGACACAAACAGGTTGGGGGTAAACAGATGGAAGAAGATACTCCATCCAAATACTAACCAAAAGAGGGCTAAAGTAACTATACTAATATCAGACAAACTAGACTTTGAGTCAAAGACTGTTACAAGAGAAAAAAGACATTATACATTAATAAAAAATTCAATTTAGCAAAAAAAAAAATGATTATAATACTATATGTTCCAAACAACAAAGGCCCACATTATATGGAGCAAATATTAACAGAACTGAAGGAAGAACTTCAATATGTCACTTTCAGTAAAACATCTAAACAGAAGATTAATAAGGAAATAGAAAACTTGAGCAACAAAATAAACTAACTAAGCCTAACAAACACAGCTCACTCCCAACAAAAGCAGAATACACATACTTCCTAAGTGCACATGGAACATTATCCAAGATCGGCCATATGCTGGGCCACAAGTCTTAACAAGGTTACAAAGAATGATATCATTGAAAGTGTATTTTCTGACTGTAATGAATAAAACTAAAAGTTTGAAAAGATGCTGAATGTTTGTGTCTAATAAAAATGAGCTCACAGGTATTCCAGAAAATTAATAAGAATGACTACGTAAAGCACTTAGCACACATTAGTCTAGATTGATGGCAGAGACAAAAGGGGCTTGGAAACTGTATCACTGGAGATGTTTTTAATGATAGCAACAGAAAGCCCAACTCAAAGTCTTAAACATTGAAAGGAATTTAGTAGTAGATTATATAACTAAAAATATCCAGAGAAAAGACTGAAATTCTGGAATGGTTTAAATAGGACTTCAGCTACATTTCTGGGTCATTCTCTTATTTCAACCTTAGGATCATCCTTATGTCATCCTTAGGGAGCTTTCCTGACGGAAGCAACTCTAATGTCTTATTCACCTGTCACACTGCCCACACAAGGTGTCAACATAGCTCATTACAATGTTATATCAACACTGAACATCAAGACTCTTATGTTTAAAAAAATCAAGTTGCATCATATATCGATCCCTGAGCCAGACACAGGGAACTCAGTGATAAGTTTAGGTCAAGCAGACCGTATCCTAAGGGATGACTATGACCTAACAGAGAGAGGGTGGAGTGGACCCTGGGAGGGCAGTGACAGTGTCTGCTACCAAGATCATCAAGTCTAACTCTTTTGTTTTATACATAAAGCAAACCTCAAAATCAAAGCTCATTGATTTTCCAAATTTACAGTTTGTCAATTCTAGGTTAAGAACTGAACCACAGTCTATTGAAGCTCAGTATCAATCTCCTACATGCTTCCAAAGAAGGACATGGACTGGGGAAGAAAAACTGTGATGCCAGAAGCAGTAAGTGGTAGGCAAGTATGGTGAGGTTACAATAGTTTACTCAGGGAACCAACAGAAATGAAGACTAATAAACAGATTTCTGAACGAACTCCCCAGGAAGGTGGAATGGGTCTAAGATGAATAAATAAATGAGGGGTAAATAGAAGCCAAATATGTACCATAAACACATGAATTCAGAAAGGATCTTTTAAGTAATATATAAATAAAATTATGTACCCAAGAGATGACCCCTCTCCTCCTGAGCTGAAGGTCAGACATGATTGAATCACAAGGTTGGAGACAAGATGGGGAACCAGAGTACAGAGAAGAGCCATCCACTTGACCAAACAGGGCAAGCATTCCTGTCCTGCACTTACTACATTGAAATATGCTGGTTGGTATCAGGGATCCATTTTAATGCAATATACTTAAGCTACCTAGAAGGTCATGGAACATTAGCCCCAGCCCATGTATAGAGCATAAGGAATCAGAAAGGAAATGAGCAGTGGTTGGTGGGAATGTCAGGAGAAGAGGGTGGATGTGACACCTGAAATTCTTGGTAGACTAACTTAAAATAGTCTTGGGAACCAATCATAAACAGGATTGGAGTTTAGGTGAAATTGACAGGATAATTAGAAAAGTATTTGCGCACTCCCAAAATAAGTTGTGTGACAGACAGCCCAGTCTCAGTTAGATAAACAAATGATGATGAGATATTGATTAGATGGATAGGTAGGTAGGTAGATAGGTAGGTAGGTAGATAGATAGATAGATAGATAGATGATAGATAGATAGATAGAAAGATAGATAGATAGATAGACAGACAGCTGGAGAGGCAGACTTACACTTTCCTTTTCAAATTGAGGAGATGAGAAGGAGAGAAGGGAAGTTCATACAAGGAAAACTCAAGTCCAGAAGATATGAAGAAGTAAAAATGCCCAATAATGGAAGAATTTATGACCTAATCAATAAGGAAAGGCTTATAATTAAAATACCTGATTCAGCCTAGAACCAATGCAGTAGAATGGAGAGAGCGAGACCTCTAGGTATGAGGCCAGAAAAAAACAAAAGACAGGAATCATAGTAGGTTGTTAGGAAGGTCATCTCAGTAAAAAGTTCAGTTGCAACTAGTTCAGTTGGCTGATGACAATACACAGCCTGGCATGTGATAACGACAGAAAGGACTGTTAGCCACCCGGAGTAGTAGGAATTAATTAGGCAAAAGAGTGAAACAGGTGGAAACTGTCAAAATTACTAACTGCTGCCAATCCCTATACTATTCCTCTGCATACAAAGTGTTTCCCATATTATGTCTGATCCCCATAAGAGTCTTTTAAAGGAAAATGTTTTGGTTTTCTGAATCTTTGGGAAAGTGAGTGATTTAATCAACTGGATGGCAATTTGAATTTTAGGAAATCCCAGTATTTCACAGCATGGGGCAAAACAAAAATGCATTTCATATTTCAGAAACAAATTTCTCAAATATTCAATATGAAAATGGATAGGCTTTAGTTTAAAATCAATTTCATCTATCATTAACTAATGAAAAAAGAGACTAGAGTCATGCCAACACCCAGGGATCATCAACGATCTCTTTTAAAACACCAGTGAAGCCTGGGTCCTAGGAAAGCCTGGGACTGTGGTATACAATGTGGTTGCCGTGGATCAGCTGGGAGGTAAGGGTATCAATGGAGCTCTACTTCAGCTTATTTTGTAGAAACAATGTTCTTGATCCATGGCACGTAGCTGTGTAGGTCAGTGAAGACAACAATGTATCCTGTTAGAACACATCCGGTTTCCCAAGACAAAATTCCCTGTAATTCACCACCACATATGGCTGGTGCAGCTGTGACCACCTGCCAGATAGAGTAGAGGAATCAGAACTTCCTTCCCCCCTGAGAGTTCCTCAATACCTGAACAGAAATGAAAGCCATGATATTTGCCATGCAAAGGGGTCCAGGATATAAGAATCTAGTTTGAAAGCTTGTTTCCAATGCACTAACTACCCTTACACCTCCCACTCATCCCTAGACAGACATTTCAAAGAACTATCTGGGAGACAGCTTTCCACTCCCCTAAAATCTACTTCTCTCATCCCTATCACAGGGTGGAGAAGAGTCATCATTCTTTAGCCTCTTATTCTCCGAGCTCCTAGCCTGACTGAGAAATCCAGACAGACACTCAATGAAGGAGGAGAGACATAGACAGAACTTATGCACGATTGAGGTAAGAAGACTTACCTGGCAGTGATCCTGACTTCCCAGCGTGGGTCCCATACAGAACATGTCTTCAAGGAGTTTTTCGCCCAGTATTCCTTTGCAGTTTACATTAAAGTTCAACTGAGCCGTGACACTTTGCAGCTTACTATGTGAATTTCCTAAGCACAAGAAATAAAGGAGACTTTCATTCCTGTTCGCCTTTTCATAAGGCATCCTTCTCCCAGCTCCTTCAGGCCTTCTTCTCAGTAAGAATGGACTCAGAAGAAGTAGTGATGGAATGCACCATGGATCAAACACCTCCTCCTGCTCTGTTTATCATCTCTGACAGATGATTAGCACCAAGGGGTGGTGGGTGGTAAGAAACTCCACACATCAAACAAGATCTGAATCCAAGCTCTGTCATCACCAAGTTCATGATCTTGGATAATTAATTTCGCAGAGTCTTAGTTTACTCTTTTATAACGTATCAATCCCAAGGAAACTTATCTACATGATATGTGATGGTGACTGTATAATATGTATAGGATGTTTAGCGCCTGGTAGATAATCAGCGATCAGCAAATAGTAGTCATTATCATTGTAATTGATAACAATATCACTCCTGTTAGGTAAGGGGAAAATAGGATTTTTACCAATTTGCAAATTAAGATTCAAAGAAGTTAAAGAATTTGTTCATAAACCTACAATGAATGGTAGAATCAATACTCAAACATAGATCCCTGAGTTCCAGCCCCTGCAGGGTGTGCCAATGTGATACACACATGTAACACCTTGACGTAGGACTTGATTCTCATAGCCCTAAAGATCATCTCTTCTACTCTAGAAAACCAATGCCGCTTGTTCCATTTCTAGATTTCCACCTGTGCTTAGAAATCTGGCACTAGGCTTCTAAGCTCCAATTCCATCCCCTAATTCTTCAGAGATCTTGAAGATGTGAATATATCCAAGAACTATCTCTTCTTTTTGATAGTCACTCACCAATAAAGTCTTTAGTCTGTAACCAAGTGTAGATCAAGCAATCTTTAACTACATTCTTGAGAGTGGGCAACTGAAAAATATTGGTGGAGAAGAACGTGAAAGGTACAGACAACTTTATCAGCATGAGGTCATTTTTAGGAGAGGTGGCAGTGAAGTTTGGGTGAATAATGATCTTCTCATAAGGTAAAATCTCTCCATGAAAGTCTCGAAGATTTGCGGAACTATCATGGAAGATGACCCAAAGATCTCTGGAAAATAAAAAAGATAAAAAAGATTGGCACTCACGGTCACAAGGCTAATCACCCCCCTCACACACACACACACACACACACACACACACACACACACACACACACACAATTTCCTTCTGTAGTAACCCATTTAATCTTTTCCTCTCATATTTGTCCATTTGATCTTTTACGTGCAGCTGCCACATGTGGTCATGAAGGCTGTGCACTATACAAGCCAGTGGGTTGCCATTCACATAGACTATAGTGGGGATGGTGCCTCAAGAGTTAAGCAGTGCAGTGGCTTGGTCTCTACTCTTAGCATAATTCTCGAGAGAAGCTCCCATTCAAGACCTAGAAATAGCAGATAGAAGCATGCAGATGGATAGTCAAGGCTTTTATGAAAGTAGTAGGCTCTGTTAGGGAGGCTCCTTTGTGAGTTGGAGGGGACAGGAAATGCGAAATTGTACAGAGGAAATGAGTAACAGCTTTGAGAGTTTAAGTATTTTAAAGCTATGGAGGGTCACCTGAATATACTGTGCTTTACTCCTGTCTATCAAAACTGTTGGATTAACAGGTTTTCTGGTGGATCTTTGGAAAAACAGTAGTCAAAGATCCTGGTGTTCCACTGAGATCCAGTTAAGATCCATTCACTAACATGGCTCAAAACCCTAAATTCAGAACAGGGCACTCCCGTGAGGCCCCTGAATCAGCCACTCAGGGATTTCTCTAGCCCACAACAGTGAGATAGGTACCACTCTGGTACTGAGCATCAATTTGTTGTTGTTGCTGAGCTCCCAAATGCTAAGTTTATATTGCCTCCTAACAACAATACCATTTGTGTCTCAGTCTCTTTGTCACCTTCTGGAGAGTTATCAGATAAAGTCTAAAGACAGAACAGGAAGAGGCCTGGTAAGTTCATCCTTTAGCCAATCCCAAGGACTGACAGTTTTAAAAGATCTCATCAGAGCAGCATCCTTTAGACAAATTTTGCTTTGGCTCGCTTTTACAAGACATTATACATTATAAGGCCTTTCCTTGCTTTTGTTGGGTTCTGATAACTACAATGCTTGGTTTCATCTGCTTAGAGTGAAGGATTCTGCTGGGTGCTCAGATGGGGATGACTGGTCTGTGGCCAATGTGTCTTTACTGAGTGTTGCAGTTCTCATTGGATCATCTTAGTCTATGTGGCTCTCTGTACCAAACACATGCTCCCTTTGTGTTTAAATTCATATGATATCTCTTCAATTGGCATAATTACCCAAGGACAATAAGAAATTACAGTGACCCCTTGGAGGAAGTTTTGACAAGAGCAAGGTTGTTCATTTGACTGATACATTAAAACAAAAAGGAAAGAAGCCTTCATGACAAGATTCTTTCTCTCTTGTCTTTCTAAATGAGAGATCACTTAATGACCCGCATCACTCCACTTCCATACCTTGGGAATTAACGAGTACTGGTGTTTTAAGTATACAACTTGATGGAGGCACCTGGGTGGTTCAGTCAGTTAAGCGTCCAATTCTTGGTTTTTGTTTAGATCATGATCTCATGGTTTGTGGGTTCAAGCCCCACATCAGGCTCTGTGCTGAAAGTATGGAGCCTGCTTGGGATTCTGTCTCTCTCTCTCTGCCCCCTCCCCTGCTCACTCTTTCTCTCTCTCTCTCTCTCTCTCTCAAAAATAAATAAATACATAATTTTTTTAAAAAAAGAATGATTTGCAAGGTGATTTTTACCTATATGTAAGGTATCATATTACACCATATTACTTACCACTTTGGGACATGTCAAACATAAGAATGTGGAACATTCCTTAGTCAAGTGTTATCTGAGTAGCTGAACTCCCTTTTACCATGATAGCACTAGAAATTTTTGACCACAAATTTTTTAGAATTCCCACAAGAAGTGCTGAGTCCCAACCTTGGAGCCTTGGAACAGAGTGGCTGGGTCCCCATCACTTACGGTAAGAAGCAGTGCGCTGCCGTCAACACCCACTGGGGGGCAATCAGAGTTCCCACACAAGACTGATAACTTGAATTCAGGTAGAATAAGTAGAGATGATTCAACTCTTCCATCTCTTCACTAACAAATGAAACACCACCTGGAACACAAAGAGAAGAGAATCAAGGGATATAAACTGACTGACTAAAGAGAACTCAGGGTGCTTATAGAGATTTCAGGATGCCAGTATCAGTTAATATAAATACTTACCACTTATTAATTACTTAGCCCCTACTCTAGGGTACTAGATAACCATACTGTACAAACACTATACTAAACACTTGATGTACTTTTTATAAATTTTTCACAGGAAAAAAACTATAGGGTGTATAGATTTTATATTATCTTATGGATTAGGAATTTATTGAAAAGAGTATCTTTTCCACATTAAATATTCTAGTCTTCTTTGTCATAGATTAACTGACCATATAATCATGGGTTTATTTCCAGCTCTCTATTCTGTTCCAGTGATCTGTTTTGTGCCAGCACCATACTGCTTTACTATACAGCTTTGTAGTCTGACTTGAAACCTGGAATTGTGAGGCCTCCAGCTTTGTTTTTCTTCCTCAAGATAGATGATATAGTGGAATATTAGGCAGTCATAAAAAAGGATGTGATAGTGCCATTTGCAATGATATGGATAGACCTGGAGGGTATTATGCTAAGTGAAATAAGTCAGACTGAGAAAGACAAATACCACATGATTTCTCTCATATGTGAAATCTAAAAAAAATCTGATGAATAAACAAACAATAAAGAAAAATACGCCTATACAAACAGAGAACAAACTGATGGTTACTAGTGGGCAGGGAGATGAGGGAATGGAAAAAAATGGGTGCAAGCTTCCAGTTATAGAATGAATAAGTCATGGGAATACAGTCCATGATATTTTAAAAGCTAGTATGGTGACAGATGGTAGCTACAATTATGGTGGGCATAGTGCAATGTATAAACTTGTAGAATCACTGAATCACTATGTTGTATACCTGATACTAATGTAATATTGTGTGTCAACTATATATTTTTTAATTTAAATAATTTAACATTAGCACACTTGAGGTCATATGACTAGTGAATACTGGTTGGTTCAAGAATTCAGAGTTCAGTCCATCTGATTGCAAATCTCACTTATGCATCTGTCTTCTACAGTACCTCCCTGCCTCTCTTCACCCTATTTACTGCTTCCAGGGTAACTTAGCTCATTCTAAACTTCCAAAGGCTTAAGGATTCTTGGCTGTACCCATAGTCAAGCAATGCAGACTTTCCTACAGCTCCCTGACTTTTCCTACTAGTCAACTACAGGGATAATTTGAGACCAGTCACATTACTCCTGCAGGAAAAAAAAAAAATAATTAATTAAAATTAAAACTTTAATTCTGGCATAAGAATATAGGGAGAGATACTTGTAGAAATACTTAAGTGTAGTACACTACTTATCCTCTGGAAACAGATGCCTCAATTCAAATTCTGGCTGTATTCTTACTAGTAGTATGAACTTGAACAAATCATGTAGATCTCTACGTTAATTTCCTTACATGTGCACTGAGATCATAACAACTTCTTTCCTAGGGTTTCTGTGAGAAATATACGTGATAATATATGTAAATTGTTTGGAAAAATGTTTCATGTACAATGTGTGTTAGTAAATGTTATTTCTTACTAATTCAGCTTCAAGTATATTTTTATATTGATGAAGTGCAAAACAATGTTTAAAAAGAGACAAAGCCCTTTCATGATCCCCAAATGACTACACATCAGATATTAACTGATATCTCTTTTCTCTGCATTATTGCTATTTTTTTTTATCAGTGACAACTCTATTTTAATCCTCCACTGTCCTTAAAAAAAAACTTTTGAGAAACCCAATTCTGAGCTCATCCCATTTCTCTAAGTCCATCTTCAAAATTATCCAGCACAAACTCAAACCCCATAAGATGCCCCTCCCATCTGGAGCACTTCTGAGGTTCTCTGGAGTATGTTCTTCCCACTGTATAAAGAAAAAAAAACATCACTATTTTCATTATTGCTATGTTCTTGGTGGCATTTGGTTGATGGATTAAACAAAGCATATCAAATCCTGCTCTCAAGTTTAGGAATGGCAGGAAAATAGAAAACTATTTTTTAAGTTTTTATTTTAACTCTAGTTAGTTAATATACAGTGCTGTATTAGTTCTGAGTGTACAATACAGTAATTTAACACTTCCATATTACACCCAGTGCTCATCACAAGTGCACTCCTTAATACCCAACATCTATCTATTTCATACACATCTCCACCTCTCTTCTGGTAACCATCAGTTTGTTCTCTGTAGTTAAGAGTCTGTTTTGTAGTTTGTCTCTCTTTCTTTTTCCCCTTTGCTTGTTTGCTTTGTTTTTTAACTTCCATATATGAGTCAAATCATATGGTATTTGTCTTTTTCTGACTTATTTTGTTTGGCATAATACTCTCTAGCTCTATCAATGTCATTGCATATGGCAAGATATCATTCCTTTTTATGGCTGAGTAATATTCCATTGTGAATCTCTATCACGTCTTCTTTACCCATTTATCAGTTGATGGATCCTTGGATTCCTTCCATAGTTTGGCTACGGTAGATAATGCTGCTATAAACATTGGGGTGCATGTATCTCTTTCAATTAGTATATTTGCTAGATCACAGGGTTTTTAACTTTGTGGGGAGCCTCCATACTGCTTTCCACAGTGACTGCACCAGTTTGCATTCCCACCAACAGTATAAGAGGGTTTCTTTTTTTTCCATATCCTCACCCAACACTTGTTTCTTATGTTTTTTATTTTAGTCATTATGACATGTGTGAGGCGATATTTCATTGTGGTTTTGATTTGCATTTCTCTGATGAGTGATGTTGAGGATCTCTTCATGTATCTTTTGGCCATCTGTATGTCGTCTTGGGACAAATGTCTATTCATGTCTTCTGCCCATTTTTTAATTGGATTATTCATTTGGGGAGTACTGAGTTTTATAAGTTCTTTATATATTTTGGATACTAATGCTTTATCAGGTATGTCATTTACAAATACCTTTTCCCATTCATTAGAATGCCTTTTAGTTTGTTGATTATTTCCTTCATTGTGCAGATGCTTTTTATTTTATGAAGTTACTATAGTTTATTTTTGCTTTTGTTTCCCTTGCCTCAGGAGACATATCTAGAAAGAAGTTGCTATGGCCAATGTCAGAGACCATTTTTATGGTTTCAGGTCTCACATTTAGGTCTTTAATCCATTTTGAACATTTTCTTCTTTCAAGATTGCCTTGGCTATTCGGGTCTTTTGTGGAATTTTAGGAATCTTTGTTCTAGTTCTGTGAGAAATGCTGTTGGTATTTTGATAGGGATTGCAATAAATACGTAGATTGCTTTGGGCAGTATAGACATTTTAATAATATATTTCTTCCAAACCATGAATATGGAATGTCTTTCCATTTCTTTGTGTCATCTTCAATTTCTTTCATCAGTGTTTTAGTTTTCAGAGTACAGGTCCTTCACCTCTTTGACTAGGTTTATCCTAGGTATCTTATAGGTTTTGGTGCAGTTGTAAATGGGATTGATTCCTGAATTTCTCTCTCCTGCTTCATTATTGGTATATAGAAATGCAACAGATTTCTGAATGTTGATTTTTTATCTAGAGATTTTACTGAATTCATGTATCAGTTCTAGCAATTTTTTGGTGGAGTCTTTCAGGTTTTTTATATAGAGTATCATGTCATCTGCAAATAGTGAAAATTTGACTTTTTTGCTGATTTGGATGCCTTTTATCTCTTTTTGTTATCTGATTGCTGAAGCTAAGGACTTCTAGTACTATGTTGAATAAAAGTGATTACTGTGAACAACCCTCTAATTCCTGACCATAGAGAAAAAGGTGTCAGTTTTTCCCTATTTAGGATGATATTACCTGTGGGGTTTTCATATATAACCTTTATTATGTTGAGGTATGTTCCCTCTAACCCTGCTTTGTTGAGTGCTTTTAACATGCATAGATGTTCTTTGTCAAATGCTTTTTCTGCATCTATTAAAAGATCATATGACCCTTATTATTCAATTAATGTGGTATATCACATTGACTGATTTGCAAATATTGAACCACCTTTATGGCCCAGGAATAAATTCCACTTGATTGTGATGAATGATTCTTTTAACAGATTCAGTTTGCTGTATTTTATTGAGAATTTTTGTATCCATGTTTATCAGAGATGTTAGCCTATAGTTCTCTTTTTTAGTGATGTCATTATCGGTTTTGGTATCAGGGTAATGCTGGCCTCATAGAATGAATTTGGAAGTTTTCCTTCTTTCTATTTTTTGGGAATAGTTTGAGAAAAATAGGTATTAACTGTTTTTTAAATGTTTTGGCCTGTGAAGCCATCTGTCCCTGGACTTTTGTTTCTTGGGAGGTTTTTTTTGACTGCTGATTCAATTTTTTTGCTGGTTACTTATTTGTTCAAGTTTCCTATTTTTCTTGTTTCAGTTTTGGTACTTTATATGTTTCTAGAAATTTATCCATTTCTTCTAGGTTGTCCAATTTGTTTGCATAATTTTTTATAATATTTTCTTATAATTATTTCTATTTCTGTGGTGCTGGTTGTTATTTCTCCTCTCTCATTTGTGATTTTATGAATTGCCAATTTTATTAATATTTTCAAAGAACCAGCTCCTGGCTTCATTGATCTGTTCTATTGTTTTTTTGTTCGTTTCTTTCTACATTCTTTATTTCTGCTCTTATCTATATTATTTCCTTCCTTTTACTGGCTTTAGGCTTCATTTGTAGTTCTTCTTCTAGTTCCTTTAGGTGTAAGGTTAGGTTGTTTATTTGAGATTTTTCTTGCTTCTTGATGTAGGCCTGTATTGTTATATACTTCCCTCTTAGGACTACTTTTGCTGTATCCCAAGGTTTTGGACTGTTGTGTTTTCATATTTACGTGTTTCCATATATTTTTAAATTTTCTTCTTTCATTTCCTGGTTAATTTTTAGTCACATGTAGTTTAACTTCCATGCATTTGTAGTCTTTACAAAATTTTTCTTGTGGTTGAATTCTAGGTTCATGATATTGTGGTCAAAAAAAGGTGTGCAGTATGATTTCAATCTTT